GCTCAGATGAGGCTTCGTCTCGCTCTCCTCCAAGCCCATCAACATTCATTTCGGGGATGAAATTCATTCAGGGGATGCTCCAAGACTGTGATGACTCATTCTACGAGAAGCCCGGGAACTCTTTTCAAGGCATCATTGACCAAATGGCTCAGCTCCACTTCACGGCCTGCCATTCTGGGGCCATCGTGAGCCAGGAACTGACTATGTGTAAGGCTAGCTTCACTCGGGAAGGAGAAGCTACCAGGAAGACTGAGGAGTTGAAGGCCGACTGCAGAAAGTTAAGAAGGAGACAACAAAGAACAACGCTTCCCTGCTGAGGCTTCTCATCCGAGCTCGAGCCGACATCATAGTTTGAATCTCCAACCTCAAAAGATTGAATATGTTTGATCAGAAAAATGATCAACTCCACTAACCTTGGCTTGGACTGAGAGCTGCTCAAAGGATAAGCTGGACGGGTGACCTACAAAACAGAACACACTCCGATGCTAAAGTCAGTAGCTGACCAAACTAAACTCGAGAGAGAATTTAGTATTTGCGTACCTTTTAACGGAGTAAATGAGTCCTATTTATAGGTGAAATCTCCGATCGTGTTCTCGACAAGGCTTCAATGACTCTTTAAGGTTGTCGTGCAATCTGGCGCGTTGTCGTAGATGATGTACTCAACCCTACAACAAGTGGCTTAGGCAACTCTTGCAAGAACAAGCACCTCCTAAACACACACGAAAACATCTAGTACACACACAAAGAATCACCCAAGGGGAAGAAGAAGGGACTTATCTTGAAGGTCAAGACTTTGGATGGAGAGAACTTGTTCTATATCCAAAGTGAAACACTCCATAACTTTGATGACCAACCTAAACTTGCATGTTTCAAGGGTTTTGTGCAACTAGATCAAGAAGCACCAATGCTCACGGTTTTGGGAGCAAAGAAGAAAGTTCAATGACTATTTTCATTCATCACTAATCCAGCCTCTCAAAAGTACAAGAAGAAGCCTATAAATAGGCAACTTGATTTTCCCCAGAATAAAAGGAAAAAGACTTTAACTAAACCTAGACTAAAATAGTTACAAATGCACTTAACTAAGTTACATAATCCTAAAGTTGGATCTAAGAGCCATTACTTAAATTTTACATTAAATCCAAAAGAAGGTTAAATATTACATGAAAACACTAATTTAATGATCAAACCTTAAATAACCCATAAAATTTTCTTTCTCCACTTGTTCTCCTTCCTCATTTAGCTTGATAATTCACATGTGGAAGTGGAGATCCCCTTCTTTCATTGGTTGGCCCTCATGGCATGATGTGCATTGCATGAAGCATATCAATAAAGTTTGTCGAAGAAGAGGCTAAGCTGAAGTAGGGTAAGCAGTTTAACCAATGACTTGGGAACGAGACTTAATGTAGTTTGGTCGGCTCGGCCATTCAAGAGATCGGCTCGGACAAATCATAATCATATTCGAGGTGGTGAAACTTGTGTCTTGGTAGTATAAGACATGTGCGAACCTTATGAACCAATTACCTCATGCCACGTGTGAGCTGAGAAATCACCTCCCACAGAATATATGTTAATTATCTCTAGATTACGATGAAGATGAAAAATAGAAAAATTAACAGAGGCAGAAGAAAAAAAATAGAGAAGAAAAAAAAATAGAGAATAATGGAGAAGAAGATGATCGGGAAGACTAAGGGCCCATTCGATAACCATTTACATTTTGGTTTTTGGTTTTTCTTTTTTTTAGTTTTTGGTTTTTGGGTTTCCGTTATAAAAAAAAACAAAAACCATATATGTTTGATAACCAGTTTTTGTTTTTAAAAAACAAAAAACAAAACATATTTTGGTATCCATTTTTAGTTTTTTGTTTTTAAAAAGTTAGAAAATTGAAAATACATATTAGAGAGAAAATTATATGTAGAGTAGAGATGACAATAGTGTGACGGTGCAAGTGAGGATGCTCCCCCCACTCTCATGCTCGTAAAAATTTTTAGTCCCCGTCTCCACCTCGTTATTCGGTTCGATAGATGTTCTCAAGAAAAATTATCGGTTTTATACTTGTTTTTAATTATTTTAAAAATTTAAGTATAAAAAAATGCAATAAATATATATTAATTATTTAAAAAAATAGAATCGGGGATGAGGTCGGGACATGAATTTCCTATTTTTGGGGCTCGACCCTACGGAAGTTTTTGTTCTCCCGAATGTAGAGACATGAAAGTACAGAGATGTAAATAAACTTTTGGAAGATAAATTTTAGAGAAATAAATAAAAAAATTTAGAAAAAAAATTAGTGCAAGAAAAGTTTAAGACAAAAAGAGAAAAATTTTAGAGAAAAAAGTAAAGTCGAGAGGAAAACCTATGTTAAAAGAAACAAAATAGAAAGAAAGAAAAAAATTATAGTGGAAATAAATTTAGATATATAGATAAATAACCGTTACAGTGAAAGAAAATTGAACGAAAAAAGAAAATATAATTTTCAGAGGAAAAATAGATTATGAAAAGAAAGAAAAGTTATAAAAGACGAAATTTTAAAGGGAAAAAAGTTAGGAAAAATATTAAATTTTTAGACAAAGAAATGAAACTAATCTATTAAAAAAAATAAAAAATAAAAATACAGAAAATTTTAGAGAAATAATAAATATTCAGAATATGAAAATTTGATAAAGAAAAATATTTTGTGTATAGAGAAATTTAGAAAAAAAAATTCACAGTGAAAAATAAATTTTTTAGAGATAAATATAGGAAAGAAAAAATAAATTTGAGTAGTAGAAGAAAAACTCAAATTTTGAAAAGACTACAAAATTGAATTGGTTATTAAACACATTGTTCTAAATTTCGTTCGACACATCGACACGGGGGAGAAAGTCCTTTTTCCCCAATGAAGTCGACATGTTGAGGAAATGTCGACCAAATTTCGATTTTTTTTTTTACCGTGAAACCTGAAACGGTTGAGAAAATTTGGATCTATGATGGCCTTCTATTTAGTAGAGACTTAGAGGAAGATCCGTTGTTTTTCAACAGAAAATCTACTATCGAAAATTTTGAATCCAAACCTTATACAAAGAAGAATTTTTGTTCAAGATGTCTTTTCAGTTTTCTTTAAATTTAAAACATTGAAAGAGAAAAAGAAAAGTCGAAAATAATAGTAAAAAATTTTACAATATTAACCGTTTTCTAAAAGAAAAAAAAACTTTAAATTAAATTTAACTATAAAAGTCTAACTCTAAAGAAATAGATCTATTTATAAAAGTCTTAATTTAATTGAAAGTTAACTAAAAAATCTAACAAATGTTAAAAGTAATTGATTTTTTAAATTCGTACTTTAAATATATCTATATTCAACCTATTTTATTCAATTACGTAATTAGATTGGATGAGAAATTATCAATAGAAAAGCAACATTAAACTTTAATTTACTAACCCACGATTTTGTTTTGACATTTTTATTACGAGGACATTTTCATAAATATATTATTTAAATATATTTAGATGGTCAAAAAGTGATTAGTTATAGGTAATTAAGTTACAATTAAAGTAGTATTTATCAATTTAAAAGATTTGCATCAATATCCACTATTTTGGTGATTTTTTTCTAAATATTCATAAACATCGACATGTTCATAAAATCGAAACTTCGACATTTTCATTAATATCGATATTTTCAACTTTGATTAAACAACACCATTTATAAAAAACTAAATATTAGAAACTAAAATAAAAAAACGAAATGATCATGAAAAGGAGGAAGAAAGAAGAAATGAGAGAAGAACCGAGAAGGAAAGGAAGGAAGCAGCAGAGGGGTGAGTGACTAAAGAATTTTTTAAAATTAAAAGAAAAATAAATAACGCACGGTCCAAGGCGTCGCTGTAGTGTGAGGGGCGCATTTAATGTTTAAGAAAAATTTCTAACTAAAAAAAAAAGTAATGACGCAAAACCAGCTGGCTGGTTTCCAAGGCGCATTTAATGTTTTCAATTTTCTTTTTTATAATTTTCAATATATATTATGTTTAATTTTATTGGTCAATTTTGGTTGGAAAGTGACATATCCGATCAAACCGATCGACATCAAGTCTATTTTTCTTTTGAAAAATTGATTCTGACTGATCTTTTTATCAAACCAATCGATCGACATTGAATCAATTAGTAAGATTAGTTTTTCAGGATCTCTTGCTCACTCCTGTTCCTAAATTTAAAAAATATTCAATTGGTCTCTTAAATTTCAATTTTATATCTCATTGGCTCTCCAACTTTCAATTATGTTTGATAGATCCTAAACCTATTAGACATTTTTCAAAGTTAGAAGATTTTATTAAGTTCAAATATGTTATAACCTTGTACTATTATGTCAAGAACTACTTTTTATATATATATATATATATATATTTCATGGAGTTAGAATATATATTTTTAGTTCATGGAGTTAGCAAAATTAAAAGTTTAAAATTTTAAGATAACAGGAGACCCTATTAAATATAATACTGAAACTTTGCGAAAGAGTTGATAACCCAATTTAGTATCAAAATATATAAACTAAATATATATCAATGTATTTAAATTATTGAAATTTTGTATCTACAATATATAATTATGATAATTATAATATTTGAAACCAAGTTGGTGGATATTTAGGTTGGACGATCTCGGAGGAATTCTTGCAATATGTAGCTTTTAGGGTGCCACGTGGAAGACATATTTTTGTTTTATTTGCATTTACTTAAAAAACAAATGGGTGTTTATCAAAAAGATCATTGACGATATTAAAAAAAAGGGTTAGTTGGAGAAAAAGAGGGAGTAATAGATCAATATTACCAAAATAAGCATTACGATATAAGTTGCGATAATTATCATAAATTTTGAGACAAGATGAGGAACTACCGAAAAACAAGTAAAGTGCAAGAATGTTTCACTTAATAACAGAAATTTAAAAATAGTAACACTCTAACAAACCTTTCATGTATAAATACTACACAGTTTTCACCTGCATTCAATATCCAATAATTTAGATCTCTACACTTCAAACACAAAGAATAGACAGTGGTTGGTTTTGAATTTCTCTGCTTTCTCCTCTCCTTCTAAACTTTCTCATTTTTTGCTTTCAACTTATATCTTACGTTATTCTTACTTCTATTTACTTCTATTTCTCATCTTTAGTGCACTGAATTGTGAGAAGCAAGCACAATTTAAATTGAGTGATTATGTAATTAAACTCTTACATTTTACTATTTCTTCAAGGGACGCAAAGATGGCCAAACTYATCATCTTGATGGGGCTTTTGCTCCTTRGTTTCTCTGAAACATTGGTAAAAGCTCATGAAGACTGGCTATACAAAGATCCAAAACAACCATTAAGTGTTCGACTCAAAGATCTGGTTGGTCGGATGACTCTCGAAGAAAAAGTTGGCCAAATGACCCAAATTGAAAGGGTTAATGCTACAGCAGAGGTTATGAAAAATTCTTTCATTGGTAAATATATATCTCATTTTTATCATCYATTTACTTCTTTTTTTAATATAATAAATGTGACCTGGAATGGAGAATTGAACCTTCGACGTCTAAGGAAAGAGCAAAATACCTTAAACCGCTGGGATATGCTCGTTGGCTTAATCTCCGACCTCTCTTTATTTTCCTTAAGAACGAGGAAAAAAAAGATATTAAGTGGTTTAGTTTATTATGAATGCAAAATAATGTAATATTAATTGTTTAATAGGGAGTGTATTGAGTGCTGGAGGCAGTCCTCCAAAAAAGAAAGCTTCTCCTGAGGATTGGATCAACATGGTTAATGAAATGCAAAAAGGAGCTTTGTCAACAAGGCTTGGAATTCCAATGATATATGGGATTGATGCTGTACATGGTCACAACAATGTCTTTGGTGCAACCATTTTCCCTCACAATGTTGGGCTTGGAGTTACAAGGCAAGATAAATAATATTTTCCTCAAAACCATAATCTTTAATTTTAAGCTTTTACGATATGTTTGGAAGTGATTTTGTCTCCATCAAAACCACTTCCCTATAAAATGATGATGGTTTAAAGTGATTTTTGAATTATTAGTTGATTAAATCTCAAATACCAATGATAATTAAATCTCTTTTTTTAAAATTACTCGTTCTACAATGATTCCSAAACATGCCTTCCTGTAACTCAAAGAGGTAACGGAATTGAAATTTGGTTAAATTGAATAGGGATCCCCAACTAATGAAGAAGATTGGGGCTGCTACTGCGCTTGAAGTTAGAGCTACTGGCATTCCTTATGCTTTTTCGCCTTGTATAGCGGTAATTAACTAACTTTCCATTCTAAATGTTGATTTTGTGATAATTTATTGTATAATTCGTTGTTTATTATATATGAAATGTGTTTTTTCTCCTTTTGTCTCAATTAGGTTTGTAGAGATCCAAGATGGGGTCGATGTTATGAAAGCTTCAGTGAAGATTCTGATATAGTTAAAGAAATGACTGAGATCATATCAGGTTTACAAGGAGAAATCCCACCTAAACATCGTCAGAATACTCCTTATCTCTCTGGAAAGTAAGTCGTCCGCAAAAACTCATTATTTTAGTCTACATTTGGAAAATGATCTTAACATTTTAAGTCGGAGGACAGCCATATTCAAACACCAAAATAGAGATTAAATATATAAACCTTCATGTTTTACCAGTGACTTTTCRTTTTATATCAATGCATCAACGATAGTAATGTTTGATAACTATTTCGTTTTTAATTTTATCTATTTTGTTTATTTAGTCATAATTTCTTTGGTATATTCTACCTTTGTCAAGAACATATTTAAATTGTATTTGTACCCAAAATAATTATAGAATGTAAGTCAATATTAATTGAATCACTCTTTGTTTCATATTATATGTATACAGAGACAAGGTGGCAGGTTGTGCAAAGCACTTTGTGGGTGATGGAGGAACCACTAAAGGCATCAATGAGAACAACACAGAGATAAGTAAAGATGGATTGTTTAAAATTCACATGCCAGGTTACTATCCCTCAGTCAGCAAGGGAGTTGCAACTGTTATGGCTTCTTATTCAAGTTGGAATGGAGAGAAGATGCATGCTAACAAATATCTTATTACCGACTTTCTTAAGAACACTCTTAAGTTCAAGGTAACGTATCTTACGTTACTCCTCTCATTGTCAATTGATTTATGGAAAATAGGAATAAAATAGTAACTTCGACAATTTGTTCGTGTTTTTAGGGTTTTGTCATCTCAGACTGGGAGGGTATTGACAGAATTACCACTCCACCTCATTCAAATTATTCATATTCCATCCTAGCAAGCGTTACTGCTGGCCTTGACATGGTTAGTATTGGTTTCAACATTTGTACGATAGCTCAACAAATAACAATTTTCATTTGATTAATTAGATTTCTTTGTTTATTTATTTCTTTGTGTTTTGCTACAGATAATGGTACCATACAACTATCCAGAGTTCATCAATGGCCTTATCTCGTTGGTTAAAAGCAATGCAATTCCTATGAGTCGAATTGATGATGCAGTGACTAGAATTTTGCGAGTCAAATTTGTTATGGGTTTATTTGAGAACCCGTTAGCTGATCAAAGCTTTGTTAACGAACTAGGCAAAAAGGTACTCAATCTATATGTAATATAAAAGGAAAAAAAACAATTTTTTTTTATAGAGATTAATTTTTCTTTGCTTCGCTTTATATAGGAGCATAGAGAATTAGCGAGGGAAGCAGTAAGAAAATCACTAGTGTTGTTGAAGAATGGAGCTTCGGCGGACAAACCATTGCTACCACTTCCAAAGAAAGCACCAAAAATACTTGTTGCTGGTACCCATGCAGACAACCTTGGCTACCAGTGTGGTGGTTGGACTATCGAGTGGCAAGGCACCTCGGGCAACGACCTTACGACTGGTATAAAGTTATAACCCAATAATTTATTAGACCTCATTTTGATAATCATTTTGTTTTTTGTTTTTCTAGTTTTACTGACAAACAGTTAAAAACAGATTATGAGTTTTATGTTTTAGGTATCGCAATTGAGTATAACCTTCCTTTGTAGGTACAACTGTGCTTTCTGCCATAAAAGAAACAGTCGATTCTGGAACACAAGTTGTATTTGAGGAGAATCCAAAGAAGGAGTTTGTCCAATCACAGGAATTTTCGTATGCCATTGTCGTAGTGGGAGAACCTCCATATGCAGAAACCGCGGGTGACAGCTTGAATTTGACAATTCCTGACCCTGGTCCAAGCATCATTACAAATGTTTGTGGAACAGTAAAATGTGTGGTTGTACTAATTTCAGGAAGGCCCGTAGTAATCCAGCCTTATCTTGATTCAATAGAAGCACTTGTAGCTGCTTGGCTTCCAGGAACGGAAGGCAAAGGCATTACTGATGTGTTATTTGGTGATTATGGATTCACTGGAAAGCTTGCACGAACATGGTTCAAGACTGTGGATCAACTGCCAATGAATTTCGGGGATCCAAATTATGATCCTTTGTTCCCGTTTGGATTTGGCCTTACTACTCAACCTGCCCATTAGATTCTTGTTTTAGCTTAACTACTTTCTACCTATAGGAAAAATAATGTTCTTTAATTTATTATTATTATTATTATTATAAATCGTATTTGAATTTGATGCCCATAACTTTTTTGAGTCACGTATCCTCGTTAATCTGTCTTGTTAAGATTCCATTATTCTCACTGAGTTACACACTTTTAAAGTATATAGATCTTGTAACCTGTGCTATATTGTAATCCTATATACATAGTGGGACGACTATGATTATTATTCTAAATATATTATGGAATAAGGGCCATAACGTTTCGAGGCTTTCCTACGAATAGAATCATTTGACGATACCAAAGATGTATTTCCTTATTAGAGAGGGGCCCCAATGGAAGCGGGGCTTTTTTCTTTTCTAATCAGTTTAGGGGGGGAAGGAGGAGAGGCACGAAAATAGGATGTCTAGGGGATCTTCCTAGTCCTAGAGTGGGAGTGTCGATGAATTCCACTTGGGAGTACTGGTAGTATGTTCAGTCAAAATAAGAGAAGTGAGTCGCGAAGGATGAGTCTTCCCTTCCATCTCATGTTTTTTCTAATTGCTAACATGTATGGATCACTAGCAAGAAATCGTTTCTTTTTGAATACCTAAGTTCTGCACGTATTGCAGACGACAAGGTCATGCCCGTCACAAATGCAAAGTGGCGAATAAGGAACCTGGTGTCRACCCGTCACCGAGAATGGCCTATGTTCCAAGAACCAATGCTACCCAGCACCTATCCAGAACCAGGGGTTTTCGAGCCTACTGCGTACGATTAGCCAGCCTTGCAGCGGCAAAAGGATTAGACGTCCCCCCATGCTACGGTTCCCTGCGGTCCGAACCCGGGTGAGGTGCAGGAGCAGTGAACATGACTCTTGCAGAAGAGGAAGAAATGCGGTAAAGAGGAGTTCCGGGCGTAGGAGTTCCGGACGTAGGAGTTCCGGACGTAGGAGTTCATTCCAAGCAAGTGCAAAAGTAGTATATTTCTCTCATTATTAAAAAATAAAAAATAAAAATTCTATTAAACAAACCCTCGTATTCAACTTCCTATCATATTGGCATGAACTTCCAAGCAAAAGGTCAAAATCATGCTAAAGTACAACAACATGACAAGCAATTTCATCTTTATACCTACCTATTGCAAAAAAGACTCAAACTTGACTTTGGACCTTAATTCACCACTATCATTTAACACTATAGGGATGTGGATATGGTGTGGCTGCTAAATTCAATCTATCCAATATATAGATGATAATTACATGCGACTACAACTATCAATAACAACACTACAAGGTGTGGAATTTATGATGCCCCTTGTGTAGAAAAGATTCTCTCTTTCTTCCTCCAAGGGATCTTTTAGTAACTAATGAATATGTACATAGACTTAATCATGCTCCTTGAAAATCAGTGGTGACTTCTTTTGTAAGCTCCAATCATCCTCGTGCTTCCATTCTACACAAGACATGGTTTTAGTAAAACAAGAATAATATATCATCACTTCACTCCATTACTTGGTTATTCATGGGTCACTCTCTAGTTGATAGATGTAAAGCTTGGCTTAAATTTTGGTACAATCTTACTTAAAGTTTGATATAACAAATTCAAACAATCAACTCTCACAAACTAAACTAAGACTAAAGTAACTCAACCTTAGGATCAACAACTCCATAATTTGAATATAACACAATCTAATGACAATAACGGTTTTTTAACCTCAGATCTTTGATTTCTTTCCCTTTTTCTTTTCTTTTCTTTTTATTTTTCTTATATATATATATATATTTTTTTTTTTGCCTATGATTATTTTTCTTTTATTAATGATTAGAGAGCTTAATTCAAGAATATCAAGGCAACTTGTAGTATTCCTTATATTAACACTTGGTATGTAATTTACTTTTGATAAATATGATAAACAAAAAAAATAATTAATACAATGTAAAAATATTTCACCTTTAGAGTCGGGCAAAGGATGTTGACCAAATTCTTTGACACTAAATTATAAGTGTCAAAGATGTTGGACTTACAAAGCAAGAATCCTTCTAAGGATCCTTGCAACATTAACAAACATGCATGGCTAACTTAACGAGTGATTCCAACAAAGAGTTTAGTTAGAAGGATGAACAACTCTTAGACCAAACTTAAAATCTATGATGGTTACTCCTAGATTCTAAGACAGCTCACTCCATAATTCGGTTGATCTAGACTAATTCAACAAATCGACTAAATTTCAAACCTAAAGATTTGAAAATAAAACAACACAAAAGGGGCTTACGGGAAAAAAGTTTTAAATTATCATATTGTGCCTATAAAAATCATTACAAGCCTTTAAAAAGGCTAAAGGGACGTTCAAAATACCAATGCCTAAAATTCTTAAAAAAAAACTATTAAATGCAAATTGAAGAAAATAAGATATAGGAAAGGAAAACTTAATTGCACAATAATGAGAAGTCTAAGTGCGGATCAAAAAACATAGCAATGCTTCAAATTGTCTTAAATGTATCTACTGTATGACCTGCATAGCATTATGAGAGCATTTGACAAGATTTTACATCACAAACTCCCAAGAGGTGCTCATTCAGGGACATGGAATAATGATTAGTGGTTGGATTCAAATCATCCCACTTTCTTTAAAAAGATTTGTCCTTAAATCAAGGTCTTCATTTTCTACATTGGAACGAATCAAGTTAGTCTAATGATAAGTCTTAATAACTTGTCGCTTACCTTATGGGTTGTCTTTCTGCGGTTGAAGGCTTATGATTTTCTTCCATGTCACTTCATTAGAGACCCTTGTTCGACTACCACCGTGTTCCTTAGCAGAGGTCAAGCTTTTCTTCATCTTCTTTGTCTTAGGCTTCTTGAGGGAAGACTTTACGACCGCTGTTTGGATGGGGTGACGTCTAAGGCATGGCCTTCATCATTTGCCTCCTTGAAAAAAGGCAGAAGAGCCGATTTAACATCCCCTTCGACCTTTGAAAGGGGGAGCCGAGCTTGAACCTCCTTCAGTCTTCTGAGGAGCTAAGCTCGAATTCCCAGGGATTTCCTTTTTGAGCCAAAGAGAAACTTCAGAATGATTTCTACACGAAAGATCAAGTTAGTTCGACCTATTGAATACAATTAAAGGACGAGCAAGTTTGGAGCTCACCTAACTCAATTAGGATCAAGTTGACGTCAGTAACCAAGGTCTCTACGCACCGACCTTTCTTTGAAGCCTCCTTGCAAAGATAGAAAAGAAGGTCTGCTCGGTCACACCAAAGACAAGTTTTGGAAGCACTGAAATAGCAAAAGGAAATAAGTTATTGTATATTTAAATTCAAGGTCTTAAGGCAGAGCTAGCCTAGGCCAACCTTACATAAGTTCCCAAAGCTATGCGGTAGATTAAAGAATGACTTGTCCTTCCTACACTGATGAGCTAATCCCCATATATGTAGAAGCATTGATCCATCAAACTTTTAATAGAAGAAACGCCCCTAACTATAGCTACAATACCCTGCTTAAGACAAAGGTAGAAATGACTGAGTCTCTTTGGAAGTTTTTCGACTTCATGGGTTGCGAAGCTTATCTACAATTAAAAGGTCGGAATGCTTCTCCTTACTAAACTCCAACCATCCCATAATGTATAGACCCAATAGCATGCCCTCCCCATCTTGGAAAAAAAATGCAGCCCACTAATAATTATCTCAATCACAAAAGCAGACAATATTAGTTAGCTAATCCTAGATCAGGTTTTGGTTCCAATTAATGCGAAATTTAAAGTTCAAATTGGAACTTACCACTTAAGAGAATAGATAAACCAATCTAAAACTTCAAAATAGCAAGAATGATAAATAAATATTAGGGAGAAGAAAATTAAACGTCAAATTTATACTGGTTCACCCAATGTGGGCTAGGACCAATTCTATACTACTATTGCAAGTTCTACTAAAATGTCTGGGAAAATCTTTCAAGAGTTTACAATCCCTTTATAATGATTTCTCTTAGTTTTCCATCACAATGAAAACGCTCACGAATCACTCTACAAGTCTTTAAAACTCTCTAACGGATACACGAGTATTTAGCTCTAAAACTCTCTCTTCTTGAAGAATTTCTCATGGCTCTCTATTTGTACTCATAATGGAATGACTCATCTATCTCTATTTATAATAGATGGTAAGATAAAAACTAAAGGGAAAAAGGAAAACTAAAAAAGCCCAAACTAAATGGACAAGGATAAAAAAAAAAACCCAAACTACATAAGACAGGAAAAAATTCAAACACACATTTTCCCTATATAAAAAAGTAGTAAAAGTTTTTCTCCTTGGTTTTGTTCCATTTTCTTAACAATCTCCCACTTGGAGATGAAACAAGCAATATGTCTTCTCTACAACGGTAGAAACTCCTCTCTACTCATGGAGAAGTCTAACTGAAGTTGCGCACAACTTTAGTTTATCAACAGGGATGATCTTTGTAAACATATCCACTGGATTTTGACAACCTGGAATCTTTCAAGCAGCCGCATCACATATTCCAAAGTTGATATGTTAAAATGGTATGTTACCTGTATGTGTTTTGCCCTTGAATGAAACAATAGATTCTCTGGTAAATGAATAATATTCTGACTGTCACAATGTAAAGTCCATTTTCCTAGTCTCAAGCCAAGTTCTTCCAAGAAAGACTGAAGTCAAAACATCTCTTTGATGGCTTAAGTAACTGCAACATACTTAACTTATGTAGTAGAAAGTGCTACTATCTTTTGTAGTCTAGAGACTTAACTAATCGCAGTATTACCCAAAGTAAAAACATACTCAGTAGTACTCTTTCTATCATATGTTCCCTTGTCATATCTGCATCGACATATCCCTGTAATTTAATGCCCGACATTTTAAAGTGCAGAGTGTCAGTCGTCTTCCTCGAGTATCTGAAACATTCACTTTACAGCCTCCCAGTGTTGTTTTCCTCGGTTACTCATATACTTGATCACAACTTGCACTGCATGTGCAATATTGGGTCTTGTGTAAACCATGATGTACATTAGGCTTCCTATAGCTGAAGCATATGACACTCTAGCCACTCTTTCCTGGTAGGTAGTGGGTGAGTGCTCTTCAGATAATTTAAAATGACTAGCTAAAGGAA